CAGTTCTACCCTCTACTAGTCCAGTCTTACAAACTCTACTGGGCAGTTCTTCCCTCTACTATTCTAGTCTTAGAAACTCTACCAGGCAGTTCTACCCTCTACTATTACAGTCTTAGAAACTCTACAGGGCAGTTCTACCCTCTACTATTCCAGTCTTAGAAACTCTACAGGGCAGTTCTACCCTCTACTATTCCAGTCTTACAAACTTTACTGGGCAGTTCTTCCCTCTACTATTACAGTCTTAGAAACTCTACCAGGCAGTTCTACCCTCTACTATTACAGTCTTAGAAACTATATGGGGTAGTTTTACCCTCTACTATTAAGTCTTAGAAACTCTACAGGGCAGTTCTACCCTCTACTATTCCAGTCTTAGAAACTCTACAGGGCAGTTCTACCCTCTACTATTACAGTCTTCGAAGCTCTATGGGACAGTTCTACTGTCTACTATTAGGTCTCTGAGTTAGAATCTACTCTACCAGCAACACATTTGTGTGTGTGTGTCGTGGGTTAGGGGCATGAGTGGTAGGAGGAGGAGAAGGGAATGGGGAAGTAGTGCTTATGGGGCACTGAGTTTCTGTTTGTTGTTGTTGTTGTGAAGTGCTGTCGAGTCAGTTCTGACCCATAGCGAACCCTGTGTAGGGTTTCTGAGGAGCAGCTGGTGAGCTTGAACCGCCGACCTTGCAGTTCAAATGGCTTTGCATTCTGGCACATTAACCCACATTCCACACCAGGAGTTTCTGTTTAGAGTGATGGAAACTGATCGTGGGACGCTGTACAACATGGTCACTGAATTGTGAAAATACCTGAAATGGCAAATGTCTTATTATTTGCATATGTTACAAATCAGGCTGCGAACCTTAAGGTCAGTGGTTTGAAACTACCAGCTGCTCCGCAGGAGAAAGATGAGGCTTTCTACTCCCGTAAAGATTTACACCCTTGGAAACCCTGTACAGGGTCACTATGGGTCGAAACCGACTCAACGGCACTTAACAACAAGAACAATATATATACATATATACATATATATATATATACATGGAGCTCTGGTAGCATAGTGGTTATGAATCGGGCTGTGAGCCGCAAGGTCAGCCGTTCGAAACTACCAGTGGGTCCGCGGGAGAAAGATGAGGCAGTCTACTCCCATAAAGATTTACAGCCTTGGAAACCCTGTGTAGGGTCACTATGAGTCAGAACCGACTCCACAGCACACAACAACAACAACGTGTGTGTATATATATATATATTCCAACACAAGGCAATTTTCAAAAGAGGGCATTCTGGGGATCTTTGCATGAATTGGGAGTGTGAGCAGATATGATAAACTGAAGGGACAGCTTTGTTCATATATGACCTGTTAATCTTTGTATGAATCCAGCCTGGTTGCTAGGATCTTGATATCTCTTCATTTTCATTTCCTATTTGTGTTAGAAACATTTTATTGATCTCTCCAGCCTCCTTGAGAAGTACAATCATTCCTGTTCTTTGACATTTATTCATCATCCCTAGAGTGAAAAACATAGTATATTATACAAAGAGGCATGCCATCTGCCGAGGGGGCAGCTGAATGTGTCTCTGCTGGACAGATGAGATACAGGGGTTAAAATATTGCCATTCTGAAGCAGATCCGGAGCCAGATGAAAAACCCAGACCTCTGTCTGAGTCCTAGGAAATTGCTGGCTGCTTTTCTAATATGAGACATGTTTCTCAGCCAGATTATGTA